GGATCCAGGGCTCTGATCAGTCCAGCAGGCATCTATGCAAACCACAGGACACCCTCCTCAACCCCTGCCCAAAAGAGTTGAGAAAATAAAAATAAGAGTGGGAAAGAATGGGTGGTTTCCTGGCTTAAAGATGTGTTCCATGGAAAGTGAGGGGTTCCACAGGGCATCCCCCAAAATCCGGGAGAAGGGAAAGGGAGTGGAGCAGAAATTCAAGCAATGAAGCGATGTCCCCTTTTTCCTCCCTACCAGACTGCTTTAACCAGAACAACCCATATGGAGTTTCACATGAGATTTTGTTTGAAATATGTGTTTCCTGTATATATCAGTTAAAATTGTATTCAGCTGAGAGCCCTGAATATCAGTGGCATAAACAGATGCGGGTGTCTTCTTCATGCAAATGTTATATATGAACATATAAAGAAGGCCCAAAGCCTCACGACTCTGGGTCCTTTCCAGCTTCCTGCTCTGTCAGCCTTACTACACAGCTAGCCGCTTCATGATTACAACATGGCTGCTGTGTCACCAGGCATTGCACTTGAATTCCAGCCAGAATCCAAGGAGGGAAGCAAAGTACTTTATCCCAGAAAAGTTTCATTCCAAAGGAAAGCACTCTGTTGCAACCACCCCTAGCTGCAAGGATGTTATACAAGTTATCTTTTCAGCTGTGCACCCTGCTGTCTAAACAAAGTTGAGCCAGATAAAATACAGGACACCCAGTTAAATTGCCCATGCAATACTGGAACATCCACCAAAAAAGTATTCATTGTCTACTTAAATTCAAATTTAACTTGGAGTTTTGCGTTTTCATTTTCTAAACCTGGCAATCCTGCAAGGAAAATGGATATTGGGTAAGTAACTAGCAGTATCTACCTACCATGCTGCCCTAAAATAGTAACCAGAACGCCAAATGACAGCATTTATTAAATGACACTACTTTTTCTTTCAAAATGTTTGAAGCTCCAGAGCAAGAATCTTAAATACCAAATAAGCAACATTATAAATTCAAAGGCAAGAAAAAGGGAAAAGGAAAATAGGAAGCCATGTATTACAGTATTTTCCCTTTTTGCCTGTCATTAAAAATGAGTTCTTCCTGCCACTCCCCTTTAAATTGACAGGCTTGGTTCCCTGCGCCGGGCCTACCAGGTCTAACCACATGAGTCGATGCGGCCCAAATGCTCACATCAGGCCTGGCACGGCTCCAGGTGCTTTATGTGCGTTTAGTCTGTACAATGGCCCATTGCGAGGCTGAGGAAACTGGAGCACAGGAGTTGAGTGACAAGCCCAGGGACACACAGCCAGGAAGCAGCAGAAGCGAGACTTGAAGCCAGTGACGGTCCATGGAGATCCACCCTCCCTTCTGCTCTGTGAACTGCCTGCTCACTGGTCCCCTTCCAGAGAAGGCTGCCTCTCTTATACCCCACTATTGATGACGACGATTTTTCTTTCACATTTGGAGACACTGAGAGGGAAATACCTATTTTCTAGCAGAAATAACTGCCGAGCGGCAAGATTGGAAAGGAAGGCAAAGGCAAGATCCTGGAAAGCTTTTTAAATCAATTTAAAGATTTGGGGTTTGATTTCCCAAAACAGAGAAGCTGTACTGATTATGTTAGTTGCTTTCAGTGGACACTTGAACCAGCAAGAAAAAGCCTGAAGCACAGAGTGAGGCTGTTACTCCCTTCTCCCCTGCCCTGCCAAACCCTTCCAGGGCTCTGCGCACCCCAACTCCTAACTCCAGCTGTTTGGCCCTAGGCCCGGGCTCTCCGCTGGCAGGATCCTATCAATATTGGCCACAAAAAGTCCAACTGGAAGCCTCCCACGTTTCATGAGCCCACGTAGTTCCACCATAACCATTTCAACACACAGGGCCAGGCTGGTGATGCCGCTGTCCCTGAAAGGCTCCCACAGACGTGAGCCACGGGCACAAGACGCATCTTCAGAACCTGGTGAGACTCAATTATAGTGTAAGCACCAGTGTTCTGCGTAAACTCACAGCAATTTCTCTACATGTCGTCAGATAACAAAAAGGGGCCACAGGCCTTTGCAAAGAGCAGCGGCGTGGGAGCCAGGCCCAGCATGCTCTCGGGGGCCTGGCGGATGTGCCACGTGACCTTTAGAAGCCCTTCCCATCACAGGACTTCAGTTTCTCATTTTTGGGGCTGAGCTGCTCTAGCTGATTCTTAAGATTCCTCCCAACTTGAAAATTCCAACAGTGACATGGCAGGATGTGCGGAGGTCTCCTGTCTGTTGAGGAGACCTGGATTCGGTCACAGCCACCTGCACTCATTACCACAAACCTCGCTCAGGACTTGATGAAATACAAGCAGGAATGACAGGAATCTGCCTCGAGTCACATACCTCTCAACCAAGTGTGAGTGACTCCACAGCACCTATGACGACCTGAGCATTGGCCGAGCTCCAAGCGTTCCATCTCAAGAGGCCTGGGCAGAGGATGCCATATCCACACTGGCAGGAAGGAACCCTGGGCAAGCTCACCCCACAGCCACGTGGCTTCCTAGGAGACAGGACTCGACCTCCGAGTGCGACTGGTCCACACCCCCTTCCTTTACCTAAGAACTCATGAAAAGCCTTGGTTTCTTGCCCTTGCCTGGAACTCACTCCAAGACCTCTGAAGTCCTTAGCTGGCCTTCTCTAGGATCAAGTCATGGGGTAAGTAAATCTCACCATGAATGACACCAGGCAGTTTACCCTTGCAACCCAGGGCTAGCGGGACCCGGCCCTCCCAAGCTACCCCTCCCACACAGGCCCTGGAGACACAGTACAGGCAACATATTTTGGGGCCATTCTTAAACAACAGGCATAGCCCCCCGGCGTGGTGTCTGGGATGTGTGTGTGTTTAACAGGAGCCACCGTCCATTCTAGGCAATTACCTTGGACCAAAGGTAGTCAAAGTCACCTAAGGCTTGGCAAGAATCTCACAAGTTAGACAGCAAGAGGATAATGACACACACATGACAAGTTCTCAAGGCTTAGGGCATCACAGGTGACCCAGTCACAACGAAACCATATCTGGATTACAAATGTCGCCACGTCCCCTGCGTACGGCTCATGCCCGGGCCGAGGCACGCTGGGCACAGCATTTACAGAGATCTCTGGGTATCTCACAGGGTAAAGAGGTGGCACTCGAGACCCCGGAAAAATCAAAAGGAATGTACAAAAGCTGGTTATGAGGGGGTTACCTGTTACCATGAAATCCAGCGCACGGGGTCCCGAGGTGACATGGTGGGCTTACTGATGTTCACGCAGTGACCTGGACGGGTTCACTCTGCCCCCAGAAAGCCCTTACCTTCCAGTACTCCCAGCTTCCGAGGAGAGCGGGACCCAAATCTGACACCTCAGATGCCTCTGTGGGGCCTCAGGCTCCCTGGTAACGTGGCTGCTCCTGGAAGCCTCCTAAAGACAGCTCTCCTACAGGCACCAGTGACTCAGTAGGCAGCATCATCACCCACGGGGAAACCCGGGGCAGGCCGAGAGTGCCCCCCTACAACACCCACCAGTCCCGCCTCCAACACAGAGGCTAACTCAGCCACATCTCCCCACTCCAGTGCCCTGTACCTCAGCACTGTCGTGGGCTCCTCCTCCGGATGCCCCTGGCTACAAGCCCTCCAGTTCCCTCGGAGGCCCAGCTCAGCTCCTGCCAGCCCCACCCTGGCCATGGCAGCTCATGCAGACCCTGCACAGGGCTCGGCCCCCTGGAGAGGCTTTCGAGTCCCACCCAGCTGCCTGCCATCTTCCCCACAGCACCACTAGGCAGTGCTGTCAGCAGCTTCTGCACCCTCTCAGGAACCAGGTGCCACGAGGACAGGGCTACTCTGTTCTTCAGGTGGAAGGAATGTGTTTTACCCACAACACCCACCTTGACAACTGGAAGAACTCTAGAGTTGATAGTTCTACAACATGCACTCAAGGGGCTGCACAGGCTGGGACATGCAGTTCTGTCACTTACTGGCCTAGAAGAATTCTTATACCTTTCCTTATAAATTCCAAATGTCGGCAGGGCATGGTGGCTCACACCTGTAATCCCAGCATTTTGGGAGGCCGAGGTGGGCAGATCACCTGAGGTCAGGAGTTCAAGACCAGCCTGGCTGACATGGTGAAACCCCATCTCTACTAAAAATACAAAAATCAGCCGGGCATGGTGGTGGGTGCCTCTAATCCCAGCTACTCAGCAGGCTGAGGCAGAAGCATCATTTGAACCTGGAAGGCAGAGCCTGCAGTGAGCCGAGATTGCACCACTGTACTCCGGCCTGGGCAACAGAGCAAGACTCCGAGACTCCGTCTCAAATAAATCCCAAACGTCAGTTCTCAAATAAATCCCAAATGTCTGTTACATTTTAAGCTACATTATGATTGTTTGGTTTGTAATGTCTTGTTTGCAAATGATGCAATGTTGACCTAAAAGAAATGAAGAAAGTAAAATGTTGCCCCTGGGCAGTCTAAGTACACAATATCACATAGCAGCTTGCCAGAAACTGCATGTAAGAACCATTTAAACAGTTTTACTGAATTTCTGTTAGCATCAGAATATGAGGACAGAGAGCACATTTCTGTTACTGTTACACAGGCCTTGTGCAAAGCCTAGAACCTCCACCCACTTTTTGTTTTTTGTTTTGGAGAAAGGGTCTCACTGTGTCGCCCAGGCTGGAGTGCAGTAGCACGGTCTCGACTGACTGCAATCTCTGCCTCCCGGGTTCAAGCAATTCTCATGCCTCACTCTCCCGAGTAGCTGGGATTACAGCTACTCGGTGAGTCACCATGCCCGGCTAATTTTTGTATTTTTACCTCCCCCTACTTTAATGGACCAGTGACAACATAATCTCCCTGCCACAACTTGCTTTATAGGACTGGGATCATCTGCCTTCTTTAGAATCTTATTTAGAATAACTGGTTAAAGTATTGCCCTAATTTAGAAATTCAAAACTGAAAATGTGGAAGCCGCTCTTACCCTTGAAAGCATACACTTGAACACAAACACAAAACTGGTTTCCAAAGTTTATTAAAAATCAAAGAATAGAAAAACTTTACATAAAAATATGTCAATTTTAGCTTCCATATTGTTGTCCACACACAAAAAAATCGAAACATGATATCTTTTGTCAAACCTGTAGCACACAACCACAGTGGTAGCCAGGCCAATTCATCTGCTTCACCATGACGGAAATGGAACATGGTACCTGTGTCTATGAATCGAGCTTTAAAATGCACACCCCACGGGACACTCACTGCCGGCCCCGTAGTGGTTTCCTTAATGTGGGTTTACAGTCAATATTGCTAATGCGTAGAGATTAGTACAGGCCTACAGATCAGTTTTTATAAATATTCTTTATCAATAGGTTCACAATTTAAATATTTTAAATATTTTTGATAACTTTCGGTCATCGAGAACTGCAGACACAGTGTGCTACTCTATTCTGGAATGCCTCCTAGAGAACCTGCAGTCGCAGCCGACAGCTCCCAATGACAGAGTGAGCCAGTCCTGCTTCAAAAGGGCAGACCGCAGACATTTTAAAGCTTGTCCTTGCTGGGCGTCCATCACATTCAGAGATCAATCTAGAACTCCCCACTGCTGCACATCCATCAGATGTCATGGTAATAAGTATCTTGTCTCGACATTCTCCACTAGTGGACTTCAAAGACCAACCTACCTGTAGTGTTTAGAAAGACCAGACCCCCGTTTTAACAACAGGAAGTCAGACGGCCTACAAGATGCAACCAACTCCCAGGACAACTGTGGTGCTCCAAAAACTCAGGGTTAGGCAGGATGGATATATTCTTGTTCAAAAAAAGGTAACAAAGACAGTGGTTGTTGTGGCAGAATACACTTGCATAGTATACCTGTATGCTTCCGACGTCGGGCGCCAGCGGTCCCGGCCCCAACGCTGGGCTGTGCTCTCCTGCGACATGATCCATTAAAACACTCCCCACGGCGCACTGGGCAGCTGAAGCACTTCTCCTAGATTTGCTCTTAACAGAACGAATGCATACGCTACAGATTCCTCAATGGAATCAACAGAATTCCTTTCTCCACATTCCTAAAACTGGGTACCACGGTCCGCAATAATAGTCACCAGACCCATCATCACAGGCTATGTCACTAAAACTGACTGAAGCATTTTCCAGTTCACATTTTCCTAAAGATTTTATAACGTGACAACCCTTCTCTCCTTAGAAAGTTATACTTCTGGCACTTGAAATGCTGGATTTGTTGTCCAGTTTAAAAGAACTGAAAACCAAAACGTTAAAACTCTGTGGTCAGAGCAAGACAACGGCCTGGGGCCCGACAGCAGGGCCACGGGCAGTCCATCAGGTGGCTCTGGAGCCGAGCCCTCTGGAAAACCGTCAGGGCGACCTGACTCCTTCACTCACTCCGACCAAAAGAAAAGACATCAAAATAAAACCCCAAACCCCTCATCATGGTGTTTGTAACGATGCTCGTCAGACAACCAGCCGACACGATGACCCAACTTAGAAAATGCAGCTCGGGAAAGGACCTAAGCTTGTTTAAAAAAAATTCCCTCCTCCCTTAAATATAACTTATGTGAAAATAGGAAATTAAATAAAAAATATCTGAGTTATTGCACAAATCATAAGTTTTCAATATTTACATAGAAAAACAGTTCTGAAATTTCAAACAAAATGTGAGGGCAGTAAAACAATGACCTCCCAAGCCTATCCATGGAGGAAAGACACACGAACGGGGTTTGATCTCCTCTGCTGCTTTGACAAACAGGAAATGAAAATAGCAAACCGCGAAGGAACAGACACGGCTACCGCAAACCGCAAGCGCATGTTCACGTCCCTGCAGTTCCTGAGCCTGACCTGCCTCAGCACTGAAGGAAGAATCCTGGGAAGGCAGAAAACAACGTCCACGTTTAATAAGGCTTCACAGATGAGCACAACGAGCTGTTCTTGAAGATGGACGCGACCACCACACAAAGAAACATGCAGAGTGATCAGCGGCGGGCGTGCCGTGAGCCCGGCTGACGTGCGGGGTGCTGGTCTCGGTTCCCCTGCCGGTGGCCGAGGCCGCGGGGCAGTCTGTGGAGGGGTGGGGGAGGCCGACGCAGCCAGGAGCCATTATCTGCTGAGGCTCACGGGCAGACTGTCCCGCGTGTGTGTGTGTTTTTTCCTCCTCCATCCGGTGCGGTTATACTGGTGGTGTCCCCTGTTGCCCACAGGGGGCCGCACACCTCCGCTACCCACAGAGCTGTAGCCGCCGCCTTGGGTGTGGCCATGAGAGCCCTTCATGGACAGTTTCATGCCGTTGTGCTGCTGGAGAAAGAGAGAGACAGCAATGTTGGAGCCAGACAACAGGCACAACGCCCACGTCCTCCGGCAGTGACCACACTAAGCGCCGACGTGATGTTACGTAGGGAGGAGGGAGGGACACCTGCCCTCTGGAACTTTCCAACTCTTCCATTTGAGAGAAAAGTATTCTTCCCATTCCGTGACTGACTGAAGGCAACAACCATATACCAGGACCAAACCACACAAATTCAGCAGAACCTCACTTCTAACTTGTTCTACTTATCCATAGAAATAAGAAGGTCCCTGGCCAGGTGCCAGTGCCTTGTGCCTGTAATTCCAGCACTTTGGGAGGCTGAAGCAGGCAGGTCACTTGAGGTCAGGAGCTCGAGACCAGCCTGACCAACATGGTGAAATCCCGTCTCTACTAAAAATACAAAAATTGGCTGGTTGTGGCGGCACACACCTATAATTCCAGCTACTCGAGAGGCTGAGGCACAAGAATTGCTTGAACCCGGGAGGCGGAGGTTGCAGTGAGCTGAGATCACACCACTGCACTCCAGCCTGGGGGATGGAGTGAGATTCTGTCCCAAAAAAAAAAAGAAATAAGAAGGTCCCGGTCATGTTCTTCCCCCAACTGTGACCTTCTAGAAACAAGCGAGTCACACGTGCCAGGGCCTGGTACTCTCGCCCTCAGCAGCCTGTCGATCCCGGCATGCAGCAGCCTGTGCTTGGGCTGCACCCAAAGCACATTCTCTGCACTGCAAAGTCCCGGCCAAGCAGACTGAGAGGAAACACACGCCGGCTTTAGGGAAGTCTCAGAGCAGGACAAACAGCAGGAGGAGGCTGGGAAAGCAAAGCCAAAATGCAACGAAGGAGCTGCTGTGCGAAGTTGTTCTTTCACCCTGAATGTGTCTATCGGGGATGCATAAATCCAAGAGGAAATGTTCTATGACTTAACTCCTAAAAACAACCATCATACAACACAGGGCCAAAGGCGCAAGCCTCAAGAATAAAACTTCCTGGCAAAGCAGGATTAGACAAGCAAAGGAGGAGTGGAGTAGAGTAAGAGGTGTGGACACCGATGAAAGTACCGAGCATCTGCACAGCCCAAGGGAACATCACGCATGACAGAGGCTGACCTGGAAGATCCTCGTCATGGCTCTCCCAATCATTCAGGTACTTCAAGAATATAGGAACCTAACGTGACCTGTTTTTTCCATGCACACAGCTGGACTTGTGAGGAGCCACATGGGCAGGCATGCCAGGACCCTGCTGAGGCCCAGCACACAGCTCTGCCCACCCTGACGCTTGCTCCTACCCCAGGTGGGGATCAGGCAACGTGGGAATGACATGGGACATCATGGCAAGATCTGCTCTTGGTTTTATCATTTGCTTCTTAGAAACCAAGGTATTTAGCATATAAATGAATTATATAAATGGGAAAAGAAAAGTCTTCATTTCGAGCCTTATTTCAACTTTTAGTTTTATGCTAATCAGTTCAACAGAGGAATTAAGAGATGTTTGTGGCAACCAATTAAACTATATCTTACATCTTAAAATAGTTTAACTTTTTAAAGTTTTGTTTGGAAAGACAAGCAAACATGAGGCTGAATGACAAGAAAGCAAATTCTGTTTCAAATGATCTCTCTGGAATTCTCTTTGGAGGAGAAAACATTCAGCACCACCTCTCACACGGCAGCTTGAACAGGTGAACGCACCGGGAAAGAGCTATACCTTATGATACAGATGAGGGCTCGAGAGCGGGTTGGGGGACGCTGAGGGAATGGCCGGGGAAGACATGTGGTGGACGGCCTTCAAAGACGCAGTTCCTTCTACACCAGCTTGTCTGCAAGGAACAGGAGCAACCCCTAGGGTCGGTGGAGGTATAGTAAACCTGGTCTAGGAAGAAAACGACAGAGACGGCCATGGGTACCAAATCAATCACAGGAAAACCATCCGGCTTCTAAAGCTCAGCACAGCCAAAGGGCAACTCATAAATGGCACAGTTGCATGTGGGCTCCATAAAGCAGTTTGTTTTACTATAACCTAACAATATTGTGCTTTGAATTAGAAATACCTCATATTCTGAAACAGCAATTAGAATATAAAGTATGCCCAGTAATCCAAGTCATAAAGTTTAAAACTCATTGAAGATCAAACGATTCAAAACATCAGCATCATCAGAATAACAACTGTCACCCCCGTGATGAATCCACGACTCACACACTGAACTCGGGGTCAGAGACCGAGACTGGCCCGACTGGTGCCCCAAGGGGCCGTGGGACGGCCGGCAGTTCCATCCTTGCCTGCTGTCCAGGTCCCCGGCTGCTTCTACGTCAGCATCACCCATTACTGTCAGCAGCAGAAGCACACTAACAAGAACCCCTTTTCTCAGACTTGCAACACTGACCTCTTTGCATCCTGGCATCCCATGCATTTACCCCAACCACCTCTGGAGATTGACTGTGGACAAGAGTCTTCTTAGATAAGAACCTAGAAACCCTCAGCGTCCCTAGACTTCACGCTCGAACCACACAAGCAGCCGCAGAGCGTGGCTCTGGAGCTCAGCAGCCGCACTGGGCTCTCAAGGGCCCCAAGGCTTGTGGGTGGTTAACAACAAACACCTTTGTGACACACGGCCCAGGACGTCAGGGCCAGTGTGATGACCATAAAAAGGCAACCAAGTTTATCTGTGGTATAATTCATTTTAAGAGTGTAAATAATTGCCTCAGAATTTTACATTTATGCAGTAATTAGACACGTTATGGTGTCTGGCTGGGCCATGGCTCTGCTCATCAACTCTGTGGGTCATTACAGAGCCAGCATTCCAGAAGCTCTGCCAGAATCAGGGTGGATCCTGTGAGCATGTCTTCCCCAGAGCAGAGTGCAAAACTCCAAGAAATGAGTCAAGATACTTTTGCATATACCTACATAGTTTTATGCTCAAATTACACCCCACATTTCAGAAAATGGTTTTAAGTCAATTAACATGTTGGGTTTTATACCCACGCATATTCCAGTGATGTATAATCGGAAGTAGATACAAAATTTAGTATTTATAAAATTCTCCTTTAGATTTCTAATTTTATCTAAATTTTAGAAACAGACAGTATATTCTAACAGAAAAAGCCTTAGAAAGTATGCCTAATTTGAAACATGAAAAAAGTCCAATAAGTTCACATTAAAACTTTTACAAAGTCTCAACACTGAGATTCTGAGAGGAAGTAGGGACAAGTGTCTGGCGCTGCCTGGTGCCCGGCTAAGTGGGTCGCGACTGAGTCGCTCTCTCAAGATGACCCTCGACAGCAGTCTCATGCTGGGGCAGTGAGGAAACTTACAGGAAGGCAGTCGACCTGGCCCCCGTGAAAAGCCACGGCAGCACTCGAGAACCACAGTCTCCTCGCTCCTGAAACTATACGTGGTGGGCCTCAACACCACAAAAAAGAGAGGATTTCCTAGAACAAGACAGCAATGGCCAAAGACTCAAAAAGTTACTCTTCGAATTCAAAGGACCATGAATCTCTAGCGCACATCACAGCTCGGATGCCCTTCCCGGGGCCACGGCCGGGAAGGGCACCAGAGGGCCACGTACCTGGTTGTTGGTTGTCATGATCAGTGTTCTGGAAGTGGTGGGCTGAGGTTTGCCACTGGGCATTGGCAAGGCGGTGGGTAAGCCGGCCATGAGAGGAGCTGGCGCTTGCAGACTGAACTGGTAAACACTAGGCGTTGTGCAGGGCGGTGTGTCTGAATCCTTGAACCCGGTACAAAAAACAACAAGGACAGCTGTACCACAAAGGTGCACTACTACTTCCTTCAAGCTATGAAAAGAAACGCCTGCCTCCAGGCTGGCTATGAAAGGTTATTTGAATTAAGTCTAACTTCTGAACGGGCAGCCCAAATCTACCCAGGCTTCCTTCAAGTAATTTCATCAAAACTGAAAAAGAATGTTAAAGGAAATACAGAAGAGATACTTGGATTTAATTTTTTTTTTTTAAATCTGTGAAGAGGATTACTGCCCTCGACAGCCGCATGAGCCAGACAGGTTCAGAACGTTCACAGTGGGGGAAAGGAAGCCTGGTGCCAACATCATGGGGCTGCCCCCCACCCACTACACACACATAAAAGGAAACAAAACCTGAGCAAAACTAAGGGGGAGATTTTAAGCTCACAGCTATGGACATTTACCAGAGACACAAACTATCCAACAGACACACGGAGGAGGGGAGGGCACTCACAACGTCACTCCCAGAAAGTGAAGACACAGATGAGGCTGAGGAGCCTGAAGACAGGAGCTGGGGGCTGGACAGCGACAAAGTCAAGCGCTGGCCGTAGGGAGACTCGGGCTCTCGGTTCTGCGTCTGCTCCCCATTGCACGTGGCTATTCGCTCTTTAATCTTGATCCTGTTGTCTGTGGAGGGAAAAAGCCTTGGTTAATAACTCCTGAGAACTGTGGCGTGGAGCCGCCCCGGCAGCATCAGTCATGGGTTCTGCTGAGCCGGGAATGCTGCTAATGTGACTGACAAACCCAACATTAGGTTTTGCTTAATTTTAAAAATTACAGTCAATTAGTTATTGGAAAACATTAAACATGCTTGTAACAACTTGGGTATGCAAATCATCTTCAAATGTGAACTTTCTAAAATCTAAATATAGATCAAGTATTTTTTATGAAAATCTGGCACCCATATAAGGATGTACTGTAAGCACAAATAAATACACACTGGATTTCAAAGACTTAGTACAAAAAATGGCTATAAAATATCTCATTTTTATGTTGATTACATGTTGAAATGTTAATATTTTGACTTCAGTTGAATAAAATCTACCAAAATTATTTCACCTGTTTCTTTTCACATTTGACACGGCCCTAGAAACTTTGAAATTCTATGTGTGGCATGCATTTGAAATTCTATGTGTGGCATTGTTTCTACTGGACAGTGCTGCTCTAGATCTTATTGTGTTTTTAATTAATGCTCATCAGAAAAACTAGCTATTTTCTTAATTTGACCAATTTACCACAAAGGAATAGAGACACTTCTGCATGAACACGCCAGCCAGTGGTTAGGATGAACACAAATGAATTAATCTCTCACCCATCCCCGGCGACGGGTGGGCTTTGCTGCCCCACTTCTCTTTGATCCACCTCCGGTAGTCAATTACCTCCTGAGTTACTTTGATGATTCTTCCTAAAGTACTGCAAAGGGACATTGTTGGAGATCAACAGAGTACAACAGGTATCAGGGAGTTAGAACCCCTCTTGAGCAGTTACCTTATACCCCTAACAGATCATCTCACTAGGTGAAGGACAGTAGGAAGGGAGCTAAAATACATTTACAAATATATATGACTTCTAATGATTCAGCTCCAGCACACCCTGGATCGTAGTACATCTACCTACAGAAGACCACTGTGAAATGCAGCTCCAAGTAGGGGAGCGTGGCCTTCCCACCCTCGATGGTCACACAGTGCTGACATTTCACTTCCCACTGCACAGGCAAGAATGGAGATGGTACCGAGATGAGTGCCCCACACGGGGCCCAGAGCTCCGCCTGAAAACACCGAGCAGACAGCGGCTCAGGAACACACAGAGCTCCAGCACCACCAGCGTCTGCAGCAGCTGCTGAGCCAGGCCTCGAAACCTGTTTATTCCATCATCCACCATGGAACAGATTTATCAAACTGTTTCAAATTCCACTCTTGACGACCACGTTACTCTTCCTTCCCATTCCTATCTCATCTCCCACCCCCTCCAATCCCACCACTACCACCACCACAGCATCATCTGGGTCAGAAGTAAATACCTCTGACTACATTTTGGGACTGTAAAAATGGCCCAAAATGTAGAACAAGGGACGAGTGTACATAAGAGAAGATGGTAGGGACTGGGTGATCAGATACATTCACTTAGAAAGTGAATGTTTATGCTTTCAAAGCTGGAGAAAAAGCATCATGTTCCAAAGTTTTGAAAGCTAGAAATCACCTCTCCAAAACAAAAGACCCTGAAGAAAATGTCAAATCTCCAAGAAAGAAATTTTCAACTCTCAACCATGGATGAATCCCATACAGCCATCCCACATTCCTAGAAGGCCTTCCTTCATCAACATATCCAAATTCTACTGAAATACGACAGAACATCCCTTCATAAATTTCATGGAGGTAAATGACACAGGAAAGGGGTAACTACCATCCCACAGGCATGCTGAGCCCAGACACAGACACGCAACCCATTACCTTTCGGCGTCTCTGTTTGGATAGGACCTGGCCAGCGGTGACACGGCATGGCTGAGCACTATGTAGGCATAGTCGAAGACCTGCTTCACCTGCATGGCGCCATAGGAGCTCCGGCCAACATCATTCCCTGCAGCAAAAAGGCTATGTCAGACTCTCCCCACACGCAAACCATCGTCCACATTTCAGATCTTGTCATACAACTGACTCTGAAGCAGGCCCTCACCAGCAAAGCCCAGACAGGCGAACACAATGGGCACGCATGGCAGTCAGCACTAGCAAAGGCCCTGTCAATCACCATACACAGGGCACGGTCTGTGAGTGCCGAGGGGCCTGGTCTGCATAATCATTGCCCACGTGCTCACGGCCCACCTCATGAAGGCAGCTGCCATTCACAGACGGAGCGACAGCTCACAAAAAGCCCACGCTCCAGGTGGCAGACACACAAGGAAGCCAAAAGCTACCATTGTGCAGACCGGAGCACCGACCCAGTGTGATCACCGATCTGACAATCAGGAGGCCTCACAAGGCAGTCAGAAGGGCAGCTAGCCCCAAGTGCACCCCAACTCAGTCAACACTAACGGAACCTGCAGGAAGTGAATCCTTTAGAATGGAATGTGAATTCTCATGTGTGGAAAACTGGGACAGCAAATCAAAGAAATCTGTCACAGAAGTCACCAAGGAAGTCAGTCAAGAGGAGCTTACTTTTCATCAGAAAAGCACTGTTTCGAATTTTAATCTACATACAACTCATTCTTCACAATCAGGTTAAGTGTAGATTTTTTTTAAAGGACATATATTCTAAGTACTGGAATTTTATCTTTTCTAGGTTTATATTATATATCTCAATGATTATGTGGGTCTTTGTTTTTTTGAGTACATTTCAGTAGACACTTGAAGACAATGGCAATGTCTCCAATGTGACTGATCCAACAGACAAAAAGATGGATGATACACTGCCACACCGTGCTACCAAAAAAACCACTCAAGAGCCTGCATAAATCACACCATCTACAAGCAACAACAAAACACATCAGCCAATGTGTTTTCCCTGAGATGATCTTCAGGAAATAAAGTCAAAAGCCAAGTGACTAACAGGTTTGCGTTGTGGGATGTGTTCAACATGATAACAATAATAAACATTAATATCCATATACGAAAAAAGTGGAGAAATACATGTCCAAATAAAAGGATTATGGCATTTACTGTTTTTCTATATTACATACTTCTGGGAAACAAATGATTTAGGATGAATACGTAATACTTCTGTAATCAGAAAAAAAAGATTTTCCTTAATTCTGCTTTATTACAGAATGTAAACAGTTGGAAAGACAAAAGTTAATTAGAAGCATTAAATAAGGATTTCTCAAAATGTCATTATTAACTGGTTAGTATAAGAGAAACCTGTGGCTGGGCATGGTGGCTCACGCCTGTAATCCCAGCACTCTGGGAGGCTGAGGCAGGTAGATCACAAGGTCAGGAGATCGAGACCATCCTGGCTAACATGGTGAAACCCCATCTCTACTAAAAATACAAAAAATTAGCTGAGAGTGGTGGTGGGTGCCTGTAGTCCCAGCTACTCAGGAGGCTGAGGCAAGAGAATGCCGTGAACCCGGGAGGCGGAGCTTGCAGTGAGCCGAGATCACGCCACTGCACTTCAACCTGGGCGACAGAACGAGACTCTGTCTCAAAAAAAAAAAAAAAAAAAAGAGAAACCTGCATCAAGAGCAAATGAATTGCCCGAGGCTCTCAGAGCCCCAACATAGCCCCCACACCTCCCCCCCACCCCCCGAGGCTGGCCTAGCTCCCAGCAGTGGAGGCCGGGGAGCCCTTACCTGGCAGCAGGGGGTCCTCAATGCACAGCATCGACGGTCTGTACCCGCTGGTCATGGCTTTCATGATCTCCTCTTTGGCAATATAGGCACCTCCTTCTTTGATTCTAATACCGGTTTTCAAGTAATTAAAATTTCTCCCATAGAGTTCAAAAAATTCTACAAGAAGCATTCCAAGGTTTTCATCAGCTCTCCGGGCATCAATTCTTGGATGCAACTGTAAAAGCAATGCACCCACAATTTGTATGGATTCAGGGCATGTTCTAAAGAAAATAGGATGAAACGAAGTCTGCCGTCCAGCAGCCTCTTCAACGCAATACCAGTGAGAGGCACTCGCTCACTCACCAGCACCACGAGGAAGCCTGAACAGCAGCCTCTTCAATGAGGAGTGTTCAAAAGGAATACAATGTACTAATCTCAATTTTATTGTCATTTAATTTTTGGAATTGTTAATCCATACAGCAAACTTCCTGCAAACACAGATACCTGATTAACCAAATATTGGCAAATAAGTTGACTATATTCTGCATAACTTAGTTGTCTGGATGGTAGATGTAATTTCAGATTCTCACCGTCCTAATTTCGTTATGCTGAAGTACAACCAACAGGGGTCAGTGTTACACTGAACAGTATGGCGGTATCACGTAAAACCAGAAAGTGAAATGACTGATTTCAGCTGAGTATAGGTCATCAGTATTACATCATAATATTTATAGCAAGCTTCCATCCTGCTTGCACACAGATGAGCACCACTCTCAGTTCAGTGCCATATCGTCTTCAAAAAAGGCATTGGGCTTGTTCTGAACTAAACCACTGTCCACCACACCTCCTGAGGGTCGTAATTCTCAGCTGTCCAGACCTGCATTGCCCACATGTCTATTTAAATGAACTAAAACAAATTAATTAAAAATCCAGCTTGTTGCTCTCACCAGCCACACTGCAATACTCAGTAGCCACATGTGGCACCAAGACCCTTGCCGGACCATGCAGAACTGGCCGTCACCATCACAGAGAATTCTATCGGACAGTGCCAACTAGAAAGGGATGGACAAGGGCACATGACAGAAATCCCTCAGAGAAGCACGGTGCTTGAAACTATTTATAACACAGAGTGCCAGGAGGAGCTGCAGCTCGAAAGCATACAAATGTTTTTAAGTTTCAGAAGAATCCCGGAGTTCTCTGCATATTTCCACCACACAAGAGGAGGATTCCAATTCTGGCATCACCTTTATTCCCTTCCTTATTCCTTGTCTTTTAGCCAAAATCACATATCCAAGAACCTGGCCAGTGGCAGGGTGGGCCTCCTCCCCTCACTCAGTCAAGAAACTCAAATGTTGCCACAGTCACACCGCTGAGGCAGGACAAGCTCTGGGCACTGGACAAGCCACAGGGATGTGGCAGTGAACACAGGAATCCGACTCATGCTATGGTGGCCTCCTGTGGGGTCACAGGATCACTGAAAGGACCCCCTGAGGGGGTGGCAGGAGGCCCTGGGCCCAGGCACACATGGCACATGCATGATCAAAGTACTAAGTAGCTGTTGTTACTACAAGGCCATGAAAATAGTGCAAGTCAGGAGTATATTAGTAAAGAACAGAGGCCCATGTTTAGTTCAAAATAATGTCCAAAAACTATGGAAGAAAGGCTATACAGTAACGGCCACATCTCAGAGGGGAAAGTGAAAACAGGACAGTGTGACTTGAACTGTAAGAAAACAGACATGGAATTCCATTTTCACCACTCTTAAAGCATCTCTGCAGAGACAGACCAAGGAAGCTGCGATCATCACAGGTGGTTACCCAGTGGTTCTACTATCATGGCATTCATGACAGTGAGGACATTACCAAATCATGAACAGAAACGGCTCGCTCAGCACAATCACAAGTACCACATTAATGGTAAACATGGACAAATCCAGTTGTGCAGCTAAATTATATAGGCAAGATTTTGTAAAGAACAGAATTCTTCACTCAAGAAAATATAAACACAATACTGTTTCAATTAGAGATGATTTTAAATGTTTAAAAAGTGTTAAGTACAGTTTATCAATACATCACAGCATTTAACAATATTTTTTAAAACACATCTGTTTTCTACTGATAGATTTTCCATGTTACTCAACAAAATAAGGACCACATATAATTTCAGACAAAATAATGAGGTTTCATCAATTGAGAAAGCAATCTTGTAAATCCTTTTCTCATATGTGGTACCAAACTTTATTCTGAGACAATTTTTTTTCAATATAAAATCACAGGCAAGCACCAAGAAATGTTTATTGTTTACCATGAAATGGACATTTCTGAATATAGAGAACTCCTTGCGTTTGCACTGATGTGCACTGGACCGCACTGGACCCACAGAACCAGATGGGCACCCCCGCACTAACAGTTACACCCAGTACAAAATGAGCTACAAAGGAGCCTCCAGAAAGGTGCATTGATCAAGAGGGTTTTAATATAAGAATCAGAAATCAGCCTCTAACAAATTGAAACAATATAGTAAAAGGAGAGCAAAGGCTGCTGGAACCCACAGGACAACTGGCTGGAAGAGTCTACTCTTACACATGTCTCAACAGAAACGGTCTCAAGAAAGCATACGTACCTGTAGAAAGCTAATGGCCATTAAAATTAGGCTGTATGAGCTAATTCCACCTGTAAAAACTTCATTCAGGTCCCTCTGCAGAAGGAACTGTTTCAATACTAAAATCAAGTAAGGCAGCAATGAATATTTCTGTAAATTCCAAAAGAAAAAGATTTATTGAGTAATTACCATACTTTCAAAGAGATTTCACATAGCAAATTACACAAGACAGAAAGGAACGTTTCCTCCATCCTCTTGCCCATCTGAAGACTCTCAGTAAGTCTCAAACTTTGGTTGGGAGACGCTAAGAATTAATTTCCTGAGGGGCTTGTGAAAACGAGACTGTGGAGCTCTCCCTCGGTTATGACTCAGCAGGGGTGCACCCCCACCATGAAGAGTCCACAGGCACAAAGGAACTCAAGGAGAGACCAGCGCGTTCGCTGGAGTATTTATGTGCTTGCTACGCAGGCCGTGAGGACAGCGGGGGCCTCCGGAGCAGGAGAGCAGAGTGAGGGTGGCAAGGAAGGCAGAGCGGCAGGAGATGACAGGAGGGAGGGAAAGCCTGGCTGCTGCTGTCTGTGTTGTGCTGGGGGCAGACGTGCTCCTTCAGACCAGATGACAAGGGGGAAGGGGGAACCTGAAGGGCAAGGCCCTTGAAAATGGAACAAGACGGGACCAGATTGCAGGGGTGGATTTGCCCCTGCTAAGGACTACAATGGCCTCTACTGTAACAGGATTTGCCCCTGCTAAGGACTGCACAGTCTCTACAGTAACAGGAAGGAAGTCACGACCACCCAGGGGTGGGTCTGCCCCTGCTAAGGACTGCATGTCCTCTACTGTAACAGAAGGTCACGACCACCCGTTTAAGACCATGAACATGGTCAGAGTCCCAAATACATCAGCTCAACCAAATCTCTCTGCCCATCCTCAGGCACTGAGACCACCCAAAGTGAGTATATCTAAGACACTTCATGATTTATCAACTTCCACTGGACCCCTGCGCAAAACCTGCGAATGAGGCACGCTGAGCTAGAAGCAGTCTCTTTGTAATAACTAGAAACATTTTAACAAAGCCCTCTAAAATAATTGTCAACTTCATAAAATGGTTACTCAAGAAAAGCAAATTTTAAAAACAGCTATGTAATTTCAAAGTATCTCTAGAAATAGTATTGTAGGAGAAATAATGTAAGTGTAGTCTGTATTACGAAAGACCCCTGTGTGCAGCTGACAGCTGTAAACATCTGTAGGAGAAATGCCGCCGAGCATAAGCACTCCAGTCCTGCACTTTCGTTGCGCGAGGTCACCAAGCACAGTACCTTCATGTAATTCTTGATGAACTCCGCTGCCCGGACGCCCGTCTCCATGTTAAAGCTGATGTCAACTTTCACTTCAGTCTCCTGATCTGTGAGCTTTATTATTGGTACCTGTAAAGATTTCATTTTAAGAACTGCTTTAATATGCAGGACTCTCCACAGCCAGGCATCAAAATGCTGCCAAAGCTGTACAGAGGTTTGGTGTTTGTACTTAGTAATGAAAGGGGGTCAGAGAACATTGTCAGCATCAGTAGTCCCTGAATCCAGGACAACTCCCAGGCCCCAGCCCCTCACAGCAAGGCCCACGTTCTGTCCCGCCCCTGCAGCCCTGGATCAGCACCGGAGGTGACCAAGCATCAAAGAGAAGTGAGGGGAGGGAGCCAACAGGGAACATGATGAGTTAGTCTCTGCCACGCCCACCCTACGTGCTCGGATGGGGAGAGGTGCCTGGCCCCCAACTTCTATTTGGTCGAATTTTTGAAATAACTTAATGTAACTTCAAAGCCATTTTTTAAATTGTACGTTATACTGATATTGTTTCTCCAAACAATACTGATATTGTTTATCTACTTTGGGTTTTCACTCTTTAAGATAGTTTTACCAAAAAAAACTTTCCCCTAAAAGATTCAGCAAATAAAGGGCTATTTTAGAAATACTCTCCCCAACAAGAACTGTCACCAAATGGCACTCAAAACCTGCCTGAGCAACTGTCCAGGCCACACTCACGCCCCACCACCCACCCCACCAGTGAAACTGTTCTTCCAGGAAAAAAGGCAATGTTTGGTTTCCTTCAGCCGTGGAGCATGAAAAACGGAGTTCCTTTAACCAAAACAATCAGGGTCTGATGAAAGGTTTAAACACCAGTGAAAGGCAACACGGACGGGGCATTCAGTGCACACCTACTCTGGGCTTTAGTGTCTACACTTGAGGGCAAACCACCAAGGACTCAGCGTGTGAGGACAGGCCAGTGGGGCCAGAGTCGCCTGGACGCCACTGCAACCACCAGACAGGGTAAGCTCTGGGGGCCAGCACATTCTAAGAAGGCAGAGAAACAAAACACTTTCCCAAAGAACTCATCAGAAACTGCTTTGGAAGAAGTCAACACTCGATGGCTATGCCTTCCCCGACACCCAGAGCTCAGGAAGCAGCTTCCTTTCCATCTCAGGGACTCCTCCCCACAGTCACTTCTGACACTCTCCTGCCCTACTCTTGCACACACTCACTCACCGCAGCAACCCCAAATCCTGAGGTGAGGAGTAACACTGGAACATTCAGTTTTGGGTTGTCCTTCCAAACAGACAAGCTTTCACCTTAAACTCAGCCCTCGCCCCGGGGCTCTTGTGCCCATGACAGACCGGCTGCATGGTGAGGACGGTCCCTGGAAAGGAGCAGTGGCAGGCTCCAGGCTCTCCCTGCAGTCTACACTGGCCTTCAGGCAACAGAAGAAGAGGTACTTAGTAGCCAATATGCGACAGTAATGAGGTCACTGGGACGAAGCAGTTACTGCAACAACTGCTCAACCTACTGTGTGTCCTCAGGACAACCGCACCTTAGTTCTCTACTCCAAAGGTGGTCGCCTGGTCAGGATTCCCATCCACCTCCCCGCTGCCCCTTGGCACACACAGAGGAGCAGCAGACAACAGCGGCCTGGGCTAAACGCAGGTGCTGCCTCGCACTGCCGCCAACCCACCTTGGGCTAACTACCTCACCTCTCTGCACCTGTTTCCTCACCTGTAAAATGAGAAGAGCAACAGTGTCTGCTGATGAGAGCAGCTGGGAGAGCTAAGTGCAATAAGGCCCATAAGCATTTGAGAAAGTGGCCAGCCAGGGCTTGTCTCATGCTCATGAGAAGAGCCAACAGCCCCTTTTGGAACCTGGGCCTGGAGGGAGCCTCTGGTGCTGCCTGCTCTCTCTGGTCCACATGACAATGACGTGAGCACGTGTACTTCGTTAACTTTCACCAAGAGGTGCACCTGGTACATGTGCACTTTTCAGTGCATATATCACGTTTTAAAATTTGCCCCCAGTCCCAATCAAAAGCACCTGACAAGGAATCACCTGAGAAGCATGTGAATGCCCCCTCCCCTACCACCACACAGGCAGGAGGAAGCTCCCGCCTGAACTGACGCTCTGCTAAACACTAGGAGGATGTGAATCACACACTACATAAGTTGACACACAAATTTAAAAATGAAATGCTAGCCAGTCGCACAGGTGAGCTAAGAACTGTCATACGACAGGCAAGTACCTCCCAGTCACTGGGGGCTTAGAATCTTGAACTGACATAAACTTTAACAAGTACACACCAGAAACAGTCTCATCTCCACATTTCCCCCAAGGAGAAGAGGCTTTTTATATATGTATATATTTTGGAACAACGAAGGAACAGCTAAGTTGTTCCTCTTGAATTTAACGTAGCAAATGGTAATCATAAAAACCATGGTTTAATCATTGAGCCAAACACTCCAAAATGGGTAGCACCTGAATGTCAGTGTCCGCTTTCAGATATGACTCTCCTTTCCTATTCATCCTAACATGAGTAGACACAATCATATATTTTCATTCCAAGAACAGTTTAATGGGCTCACAAATCCCAAAAGTTCAGACTCACTAAACATGTTCTCAGTTGGTGATCATGACTATAAAACAAAAACATAAAACACTTGTCTATACCAGAAGCAGATTAATCATCGAAACTGCAGCCAATAACTGTGTAAAATACCACAAACTCGGCCAGGCGCGGTGGCTCAAGCCTGTAATCCCAGCACTTTGGGAGGCCGAGACGGGCGGATCACGAGGTCAGGAGATCGAGACCATCCTGGCTAACACGGTGAAACCCCGTCTCTACTAAAAATACAAGAAAAATTAGCCGGGCAAGGTGGTGGGCGCCTGTAGTCCCAGCTACTCGGGAGGCTGAGGCAGGAGAATGGCGTGAACCCGGGGGGGCGGAGCTTGCAGTGAGCCGAGATCGCGCCACTGCACTCCAGCCTGGGGCACAGAGCAAGACTCCGTCTCAAAAAAAAAAAAAAAAATACCACAAACTCGTGACACAGGCGTATCCTGTAACCACCTGGGATGTGACGAGGCTCCTGCCCAGTCAGAGGGGCCAAAGCCAGGCACTCACCGTAGCCTTGTCAAGGACTTTGATGGAACACGGCTCAGCCACATTGTGCTTCCGCAGGGCTTGCTCCAGCAGCTGTAAAGGAGGACGCTCCCATTTCCCGAAGACCACCAGGTCTATGTCGCTGACAGAAGAAAATGCACGTCAGCCACTGCTCCCCTTACCACAGCCTACACACTCATGTGGGCAGGATAAGCACCACCGCACATGTGCCTGCGTCTCCCCCAAAGGTCAAGACACAATCCCACTAGGCTATGGCCCCTAAGGAAGTGAAATGCAGTTAATAAACTACAGCAAATCCTCGCTGAACTGAAGGGAAGACTTCCATAAGATGGAAAGCAAAGGTTAAATGATTCTCCCAACAGCACTAGGTATGTGAGGGGATTCAGATGAAAACGCCTGCCCCCAAAGCAGGCTGAGGCCCCGCTCTCCCAGCACCTACTCCAGCACTACCTACACTGGATCACTCCTGCAGACTCAGGGATTCCTGGATACCCGAACCTGTTCAATTACCCATTGGCCCTGCTAACATCAACCCCCAAATCCTGAGATTAGAGCCTCTTCAGCCTCCAAATGCTAACTAGCAGTGGGTTAATAGAAGGTAAACTTTTAATGAGACAGTGCACGGAAATTTATTTGGATATCAAGAATCCTTAATGAGAAAATACCAGTTTACATTTTAGAATGCAAACTTGTTTGACATTTTCTTATCAGGTAAAAACCCTTAGAAAATACTATTTAAAGAGAATTTTGCTTGAATCTTCATTAAAACATAAGATCAATTTTTCAAACACATGTTCTAAAGTATCAGCAGAATGTTTTCTATTGCGTTTACTTCCCACAGTCCTCCCACCTGTCTTCTTCACGTTTCCAGCACCCAGCATTTTTGCACCCCAACAAATTAAGTGTGAGGCAAAATGCAAAGCAATGAATTCATCATGACACTAAATTAAATCTTTCTGCCAATTTCCTTCTGTAACCACAGTCTTTTCCTTCAGCTGGCCTTTTTCGCCTTAGACTCAATTACAAAGAATCTCTCTGTAGCCCTTCATATCGCCCAGACTCCATCCCGGCCTCTAAATAAGCACAGACACTAGCCCATGCCATGCAGTCTGGTACTCACCTAGTTGGAAGATAGAGACCTGTACTAAAGCTGCCAAATATCTGTACCTGAAAGAAAGAGGCTGCTTTAAAATGGATACCACAAACCAAGCAGTCACACTACCATTACTTCCTACTGCAAGAAAGCCCTCACTACACCCTTGGGTAAAAAACAAAACTACCTGGAAACTGAGGGAGGGGACTGCGTAACAAGGAACCAGAAAATTCCCTTAAGTTAAAGACGTGCCCCAAAAAGGAACGCTTAAAAACTCTAAGTTAAGAGGTGAAACACGTTTTGTCTTCACCCTACAACCCTTCAAAGCTGAGGACTTTCCAGAGCTAGCTTTGAACCCTTCAACCTCTTCCTAAACCCACAGCTAAGGCACTGGGGCAGGGCTTTGTCCTAGGGCTCTGAAGTTGAAAGCCAAAAATATGTATCATTTTTAAAGAGGAGCAGAAAACTGGGTCGTCCTTGCCCACCGCCCACCAAGAGCACACATGCCCCTCACAGCTAGAGCACGGCCAGCCCGGCCGGTCCCCTGAGCCCAGCCAGCAGCAGGGAAGGCTGCTGAGCAGAGCCAGCCAGGGGCAGGCTTCACACCGCCTGCACCAAGCATTCCAGAAGGCCCCTCTCCACATGTCAAAAACACTTGTTCCTTCACCGCAAGAGTGGTGTGTGATGAGGGAACACTTCCAAGTTTTACAAAAATGAACACATTATATGCTACCATGTGTGGTGGTGGGGAAGCAGGGGTGGGTGACAGGGCGAAATTTCTAAATTTAAGGTGAACTTAAGAGAAACAACCACATCATTCTCCCCGCTCCAAAAAAAAAAAAATCCCTCAGCCAATGGTCCTCGCACTTGAGTGTGCGCCAGTGTCACACAGACCCGCGGCCACCGCAGGTGTCGAAGGCATCAGGTGCAGGTGGGCCGGGGGCCGTGCATTCCTAGCATTGCAGGCGACCTGGCCTTCTCAAAGCACACTTGGAGAACTGCTTCCTCAGGCCAACGGGAAAAGGTCTGTGTGGATCCAGCCGACCCATCACCACAGGGCGTTTAAATTTACTCGCACATGACTTGTGGCACAGAACCCCAAAGAACATACTCACATCAGCCGTCGGCCAAAGGTCTTTAACAACAGTTTCGATCCGTTTCACCACCTCTCTTCTCATAGCTGCTTCTTCAGGACAAGGGGACATGAAGTTATAAAAGTCAATTATTTCCTCATGTAGTCTAATGGACAAAAGAGAAAACATACTAGAGTTACAATGAAACGTCACCACGCTTTCTGTTCTGTTCTTACATTAGGATGACACTCAAACATATTTCTGGCCACGAAATTCAGTTTCATTTCTCCTCTGAAAGCATAAAATGAAAACTCTGTTCAACAAACTTACACAGTATGACTTAGCAACACTAAACAAGTGAATTTTGTCAATTCCAATTATCAATAAATTTACAACTGGCCTTTAAAGATTTATCAAAAAAAAATCATCTCAGTGATTCTGCACTGAAAAAAATGAGAGAATTCCATCCAGGAAGTGTGAAAGCAGCTTTCCAATGAATGTGGCACAGTCGGGCACAGGTCTGAGGGTGGGACCCAGCTCCAGTGCATGTCCCAAGGCCCCATCAGCACCTCCCTGAGTAATTCAGCTAAGGAGGATGGGAGGGACTGAGAATGGGCCAAGGTGTGGAGAAGGAACACGTGAACAGGAAAAAAGATATGTAAGTCCTCAGGGGCCCGGCAGCCCAGGTCGCCCAAGCTACCTGGTGACCATCCACTAAATCCAGGTTCCATCTGCCAGTCTCAGCAGAGAGAAACAGGGTCCCTGGAGGCAGAAAAGTTGATCTAATTCAATACTCAAGTATTCTCTCCTTAAGAGGCCAACAAGGAGGTCAACAGCCAGATGCCTGTGGGATAGGAGTAAGTAGGGCCTCTGTCTCTCTTAACAAAAAACTAAAGCAGTGTTTTCAAGCACTAGGAGCAAGGCCTGGAAGACGCCTCATGCCGCCACCTCAAAGGTGCTGATGTCCTGTCACCCCCATGGGCTCCAAGAGCTGAGGTCAGTCCTGTGGTCAGTGGCACCAGCCTATGTCATGAGTTAAGGCTGAAGCCTACACTGATGACTGCAGGAAAAGTGCTGTCGTCCTCCTTTCCTTTAATAGATTAATTAAAGATGGAGAGAGGAGAAAGCAAATTATCCAGTCCCAGGAATTATAACAAATCAAACTCATCTGCTTCCTTAATGCTAGGACTCCTAGGAATTATAACAAATCAAACTTGCCTGTTTCCATTCTAAGTTTCACTAATCAAGCAAACAGCAGAAGACAAAACAGGGCCAACGAACAGCTGGCAAAGTGGAAGCATATAGCACCTCTTACAGGACCCGCCCGGGGTGAGTCCAAAGGTGAGTGGCCCCGCGTCAGCCTACAGTTTGGCTCCTGTGTAAAGTTAATTTCAACTGTCTCTCACCTGAAGTATCGCCACTCCCCACCCTGCCAAAAAGTCATTTGGAGGAAGCATTCCAAACTGCCCACAGAGGGTTTAAGGCTAGGCTGCAAGCACACACGAGACTCCAGTGGCAGCAAATAAATGCTGGGCACCCTTGCTCATGAAGCACCTGCAAATCAGGCCATCCCTGCAGCCTAGTTTTATCTATCACATTTAATTAAAAAAAACATGTGTCTGGATGCGGTGGCTCACGCCTGTAATCCCAGCACTTTGGGTGGCTGAGGTGGGTGGATCACGAGTTCAGGAAATCAAGCCCATCCTGGCTAAAATGGTGAAACCCCATCTCTAGTAAAAATAGAAAAAAAATTAGCTAGGCATGGTGGCACGAGCTTGTAAGTCCCAGCTACCCAGGAGACTGAGGCAGGAGAATCACTTGAACCCGGGAGGCAGAAGCTGCAGTGGGCCGACATTCTGCCACTGCACTCCAGCCTGGGCAACAGAGCAAGACTGTCTCACCCAAAAAAACAAAAAAAGTAAGAAAACACGTCACCCTAACCATGGTCCCAATTCAGACAGCCACCAGTCCAGCTGTTAATAGATCCCAACATTAAAATATTTTTTCCAAACTGAACAAACTACAAGAGCTTTGAAGTAAAGCTTCTATCTTTTCAACAATTACTGAGCACCAACTACATACTAGGCGTTTAACTATCTTTTCTACCCGCTCAGTAGGCCACTTTAAAGTCTGAGATGTTACCTAAAATTTCCTACCACTTAGTAATGTAAGCAGGACTAGATATGGCACGTTAGCAGGTTAATATCCACCCCAGGGAAGAGCCACAGGCCAGCCTCTCTCCATCAGCAAGGGCGTCTGGGTGGACCCCTTTACCTTCACCAGTCACTATCACTGTCACTGCAGAGAGCTAGGCACAGGCCTGGGCTCTCCATGAGAACAGCACTGGGAAGTCTGTCCACCTAAACCGCTACACCACGTGGCCTCCTGTACCTCACAGTCCCGTTCTGAGGATAACAACAGGAGAAACTTAGAGAGATTCTAACAAAGATGCAGGCTTGGAATTATTAAATAATTGGCCCAAAGTCATGGAAGAATACCAAGGCTAGGATGCTAAAATTCTATCCACATCCCCCAGATTTAACTCATTAAAGCATACTATAAACAGGGCATTCCAATTTGTCAAAATGCCACTCCAGGTTTCTGCCTGCAGAGTAGAATGTACTGTCAACTTTAAGTTCTACCTGAAGTAACAGCAACATCAAATAGCTTTCAGGACCTGTGCAGCCACATTCACCACCCTCCGGGGCATCCCCTACTATCAGGACATGCTCAACACTCCAGGAAAGGAAGAGTATGGAGATAACACCTGCTGCAATCTGCCTCAGACACACAAAATCAGCGTAACACCGCATCTGTTTTTGTCAAATGTCTGTTCCCTTGCACAGAGAGAAGAGGGGGTGGCCTGGTAATCCTCCCCTAAAACAGGAGAGATTAATGGCGAGGCGTGGCCTGCCCGTGCTCCTAGCAGAAAGGGGGCTCAGGGGAACACGGGGCCTCCTGACCTTGGCATTGTGTCCAAACAATGAGGGGGCACTAATAACCACACCTGTCTGAAATCTGTAATAAAATCGACCTAAAAGTGAGCAACTGTTGTAACAAATATTAGATAATAAGAGCCAAGAACAATTTTGTTTTGCCTTTTCAGAACAGAAAGGACACAGCCGGCGGCCCGGCCATCCATGCCTTGTGGATAAGGGAGTCAGACAAGAAGGCTCTGGCGAAGCGCCCCACTGGCCCTTCTTCCAGGAGAGCAGGGACCAGCGAGGTGCCGCACGACGCCGGGACTGCGCACAAGGCAGAGCGTGAGACTGATGGTGGCCGCAGGACAGTACCAACCATCACATCATAAAGCCTCTGGGCTGACCTGCCAAGTCCCCAGCCTGCCTTCTGCTTGGCTCTTTGTGAGGCCCTCAGAGGGTGAGGGGTGGGGGCCAGGCAGCGAGGGGGAACACCGACCAAACTGAGAAACAGTGCGCAGTAAGAGCAGCCCAACAAAACCCACATGAGGGCACTGCCCAGCCGTGCCCACCCAGCGGCCTCCCTGCAACCGCACGATCCTGGAGGCCATCTGTGGATGGACGCAATGGCTCACTGCTCCATCTCCGGTGCCCAGAACAGCGCTTGCCTGTGCATGGAATGAATCAATCAAGTTTTGCTAAGATATTTTGCTGACCTTGTCATTGCTCATACACATTCTCTATAAAATGACATCTAAAATTAACATTCTGAAAATATTTTACCTCTGCACTGAATAATTTGATCTGTTAGCAGAAACCATTTAAATGGCCAACTACCCCTTTAAAAATGTAAACAGTCACTAAGTGTTTTGGATTATCTCATTCAATACTAACATTGCCAGGACTTTTCACTGCCTTAGAAAGCTGTGCACATACCTTCACAGAAAAGCCTTGCTGACCACAGGCCATGCCACCAGTGCCAACTACGACATACCTCCTTTACTCATCTATGACTTCAAATACTGAATATACCCACTGCTTCAATTCTCCAAAAGTCTGTTACAGAAGTACATCAATGAAAAGTTTTAATCATTTCTTCTCAACAAAACAGAAATAAGTTTAGTCTTATGTTCGCACATACCAAACCTCCAGGGAATTTACAACTGGCAGGATGTCCGCATAAAAACCACACTAAAGTCTGCTATCCACAGACCAGTCATCAAAATCTTTTAAGAGCTCAATTTCAGTTCTGCTCACTAGTGTTCAGTCTCTAAATCGAAGAAATTTCTATGCATCGACCATAATAGAATATATCCTTCTACAGTGGATAACAGAGGTGGCATCTCAGAACCAGTAGGACACACTGACAGCCCGAGGCAGCCCCAAGGCCCTGCTGCCCCCCGAGCATGCCATCATCCCCGTCCCCATGAGAAAGGCTGGCGGCACGTCGGGAAGCAGTGCCAGCCGAAAGGCGGCCTGAGCACCCTCCCCTGCAGCCTCAGGCAGCCAGTGAGACCTGGGAAGTGCCTGGGAGGGCTTTCCCAGGAGGCTTCTTAGGGAAGGAGCTGGCACATAGCCCTCTGGCCTCGCCCCCTACTCCTGACACATTAGGCTGGCACTCTCCAGCTGGGGGCAGCGAGTGGCCCAGGAAACTCCTTTATGATACAAATCTCATTCTCAGCGGAGGAGCCGAAGGACACAACTCCAGGAACACTGCCCCCAGAACCGGGGGCAGAGCTTCCAACTGCTCTGCGGTGACTTCCAGCCTCGTCTTAGATTTTGTCACCATTTTGAGTTGGCTGTGGTGTAGAAAAGAAGTAGGATCTATAAATGAAGCAAGCCTCTGATGCTTGTCTCCGCGAAGTGAAATCCTGGGACATTAGCAAGCCTCCTGCTCCACACAGAGCAGGGGCAGCTTCCTGACCCATCACTATGGAGCAAACCCTGAATGATTCATTTCCTGGTTATCTTAAGAAAAAAGGAAACGGTGACAGCAGAGGTTTTTTTTTAGTGAATTTTCATTTTAATCAAGAAACTACTAGAAAACAGAATTCTGAAGCATTATTTCCTAGTGTGCTTTACTAAAAATTAGAGAATAAAGTTCCTTGAAAAACAACAAAAGATCACTCTTGTTTACAATCACTATCTTGCAAGAGTCCAAACCCATCAAAAGGTAACGGCTGACTTCTCCATTTAGTAAATTCCCAATTTTCTGCTTTTAGTACTAAAAAGCAAGATCAGCAATGTTT